GGGCGTTCGAACAATAACCAATTCGCGTCCAGTGCTTGACTTATTAGACGAACCATTTCTTCTCTTCGCTGGGACAGTACCATTCAAAATTAGAACAACCTTCGGACCAAGTAGTTGGACCTTCGGCGCTCGCTTACCAAGAAGAACTCGGTACCAAAACATCAAGCAGTACCTGTGGCGCTAGATTCGGGATAGTTTTAGCTTTGGGTTCCTTGATTGGATACTCGGTGCTGGGAATGTAAACCTCTTTGAGATCTGCTTCTCTTTGTCTCTCAATCTGCAGTAAACAATTCGTAAGTATCGAAGGAAATTGAAACACTTCAAGAAGTAGGCTGACCTTACGACGCTTCGCAAATTCGCTATGAACAACATCGCGCATTCTTGCCGCCTCTTCTTTCTCCAGTCTCTCCCAAGCGTCCGAGCTGTTACATCCATAGTCGTCATCATCATGTGCCCTACAAGGAAACAACAAATCAGAACTTTGTGAAAAAGGGTAAAGTTCAGTCCAACGATCTAGACATACGAGAAAAGACGCAGCGTACCGTTTGCCTCCACCATAAAGGTCACCACTTTCAAAGTTTCCTTTCGACGCTTTCATCATTTTGGTAGAGGAGCACGCAGTCTAAAGTGTAGCAACATTCAAAACCGCACATTTCAACGGCAAAACATTACGTTACAAACCAAACGATGTGGTAACCTACTTCGTTTCGTTAGCAGTAATTGAATCTTTCGAAAAAGTTCAAATAATCGAATGTAATGGCGTGATTAAATATTAAGTCCTAAGAGTTATTCATAGGATATATGCGTAACCTCTTTTTATATTACATTACCCCTTTTAATGAGCAATCACAGTAATTAAAAAACGTAGAAAAGTCATGAAATTAAGACCTAGAAAATCGACAACCTGAAACTGGGAAGCTCTGGCGATTGTGCCGTTCTGATCTTTGCAAAAGTCACAATGCATTCGGCATGGTGGTAAGTCGGTTTCACCGAAATACTTCGCAAAGCACACATGGCGGCATCTAAAGGTCAAAACTATAACTAAACTAAACTATCGTACGATGATTACAAACGGGAAAGCAAAAGAAGAAGGATTCGATTCTATACTTACTGAGCCATTTCGGCGTAGTCAACCATCTTCTCTAATCCATGTTGTATTGCTGTTGTCTGCTGCTTCTTGGCAGTTTCCGATATTTTCTTCCCCTTAAAGTGAAACTTTCAACTTGAAAAGAATCAATAAATTATGAAAAACACCATTTCGAGAAAAGGTATGGGAAAATTGCACAGATGAGCCACACGGGAGAAAAAAGTAAACAAAAGAAAAAAAAGAAAGTCCTCACTTTGAGCATGGCTAGATCTCTTCTGACTAGAAAATGAAGAAACTCCTTATCGGACAGGCTATAGTAGATTCGACAATAACTTCGTTGACCATCTCGACCAGCTCTTCCAGATTCTTGGTAATAGGCGGCCAAATTTTGCGGACATGTCCAGTGAACAACGAACCTGTGTGGGAAAACGTTACATAGGGGTAAGCAATGTCTTGCTTAAATACCACAGCGTAATCCAGTCAAACATGAGATGAAATCCCGATCAGCTCAGGAAATCCTTTTACTTTTTGCTTACCTCACATCAGGTTTATCAATACCCATTCCAAACGCTATTGTAGCGGCTATCACAGGAACTTCGTTCTTCATCCACTGATTCTGGACATCGTCACGCAACTGAAAACCAAGATTTGATAACGCAATGAGCCCGTATTTTGGTTATACTGCCCTTGCACTGGAAGAAATTAGAAATTAGCAGACTTTGAAATGTCTGGTAAGGAAAAAGCTTCTAATCTCGCTCATAATCCTGCCGGTCCAACATTTTGAAAAAGAGGAGAACTACCTAGAGCTGTGACGATTATCAGTGCATGCCTTATGGTCAAAATGTACGGTAAAACTCCTACCTTGTTTGATAAGCCAGCATGGTAAGCCAGACAACGGATCTGCACCATGCTCAACATATGCGCCACTTGATCGCATTCGTCACGCGTTCGGCAGTAAATTATACCACTTCCTTCATAGGTCCAAAAATGGAATTATTGAGCGCCATGTGGAAAACTATTGCAGAACATTACTTTGACTCTTGATAAGGATCAAACTCACTCGCTCCTTTGTTAATTTCTTGATCTCAGTGACCTGAATAACGATTTTTTTTTTCAACAAAGACATTCCTGCAGCAGTTCGCTTTCGACTTTCAAGATTGGCGATTCTCTCAACAACGTATTCGTGACGTCATTAAAATATATACAGTTTTCAAAAAGCGAAACTAAAATATACCTTAGCAACGGTTTTATGTTGGTAAGTTGTCAATGTCTTTTGCATTTCTATATATTGACCATTCTAGCGAAGAGGCCGCTTCCGTTGTCTCACAAGGGCGTTCGAACAATAACCAATTAGCGTCCAGTGCTTGACTTATTAGACGAACCATTTCTTCTCTTCGCTGGGACAGTACCATTCAAAATTAGA